CTGACAAATTATTTTTAACATCCTCCCTTAATTTGTCACTCATGGTATCTTTGAACTAGATAAATTTGTCTGTACAAATTGTCTTTGTGAATATATGTACAAGATGGTCATTTGTGTTGATGAATTTTGGATCTATTTCTCATTTTTTTGTCAGCTCCCTAATGAAATGATCCCGAATTTCTATTTGCTTCGATCTGCTGTGAAATATTGGATTTTTCTTCATTGCAATTGTTGACATATTGTCACAGAAAATTGTTGTGGGGGAGTTTTGCTTTTGTTGTAAATTTGATAAAAATTCTTCTGAGCCAGAGGGCTTCACATGCTACGTTTGTTGCTGAAATATATTCGGCTTCTGTTGACAATAGGGCAACGATATTTTGTTTCCTTGATGACCACGATATCACTTTGTACCTAGGCATAATAAACGGCTGGAAGAGTTTTACCGATCATCAATAGAAGTTGACTCATCACTATCGGAATATCCAACAAGATTAATATCCTTTTCATAAACATATTTGATACCATGTTTCTTTCTTTGTTCTTTGGATATATCTCAAAATCCTTTCGGTGTTGCAAAATGCAGTTTACTCGGCTCATTCATGAATCTAGAACAAATACTAATTGATTGCACAATGTATGGCCTTATGTTAGATAAATTAAGGATCCAACCAAACTTCAGTAAATCAATGCATCAACTTTGTTTGCACCATCGTAATTTGACAATTTTTCATTCACTATCATTGGAGTAGTCACTGGTTTGCAATTTGACATTTTGAATTTTTTCAAGAAATCTTCAACATATTTCCCTTGAGAGATAAAAATTTCTCCGACTGTTTTACTTGGATTCCAAAAAAATATTTCATGATTCCCAAATAAGTTATTTCATATTATTTCATCATGGTTTCTTAAATTCTTCTACCATTTTTTGGTTTGTACCAATATAAATCAAACGATCTACATAAAGGCATACAATTATGAAGGAATTTCAACTTCCCTTTTTTACATACAGTGAATTTCCACCAGTTTTTGGTTTGGGCTCCTTTTGAATCCATTTTGCCAAAAATGTTTATCAATTTTGCTGTTCTCAAGCTTTTGGTGCTTGTTTTAGCCCATGTAAAGCCTTTTTCAGTTTATAAACTTTTTCTTCTTTTCCCTTTTCCAGTGTTTTAAAATGTGGCTGCCCAATGCATCGAACTTGCCCGCATTTGTGGTGTGGAGAGATGCGCCCGCATATGCACCACATCTCACCGCATCTTGCATCAAAGCCACATCAGGCCACATAATCTATCTATGATTTTTTTCAAAACTGTACCCTTGGGTAAGGATAATAAGGTCATTTTGACCTTTGAAAATGGCAGGAAAGGGTTTGAGGGGGTATTAAACCCCCCATACAACATTTTTCAGCCACATCCGTGGCTTTTATTTGATCGATTTGACTTCATAACTTTTGCTTGTTGATTTGAGGAAGTTTAGGCGAACATTTGACAACAAATCGAGGGTTTCAAGAGCCATGAAGATGATGATTGTAATGACTCTTCTTGAGTTTGACTTTAAAACTCTTTAATCTTCATGGACTTTTGGTTTGTAACTTTAAGGTTTGTGGTTACAGATTTGTGCTTATTGTTGTTGATTGTTGAATGTTTTATGAAGTTCGTTTCAAGTTTCTAGTTTCTATCAGGGGATAGTGGATACAAAATCTCCGATAGCTAATACTTTTGGAGTTAATGAATAAACTAAATACCTACTATCACATATATCACCTCCATATTTTTTCCTATGCATTAACCTATTTTTTTAGATTTTTTAGAACTTTTTTATTTACTGACCGCATCGCCGTGATGCACCCGCATCCAGACCGCATCGAGCCGCGTTGTCGTGTTGGCCCCCCCACCACTTTTGGCCGCATCCAGCATTTTAAAACATAGCGTTTTTCAACAAAACCCAATTCAAAATCGATTTCAGTCTAATTATTTCTTTCCCTTTTGGGCAATCAACTAATTCCTATGTATTGTTTTTCTTTGTCACAGAAATTTATGAATCATGTCATCTAGCATTCTTTTCTAGTGAACTCCGCTCAGATGAAATTCTGATGTAGGCAAAATTGAGGGAACAATAAAATTAGCAATAAACAAGACAAACACAAGAACAAGTCGAAGAAACTTAGGGTTTCTTCTCCATACCCCAAGTTAGGGCTCCAAAAGCCTAAGCTTTTCTTTCAATTTCTAAAAATCATGTGTAATATACCCTCTCAAGGCCCTACACATCTTTATGCTATAATTCAATATTCAAGGACATTATAGGTCTATACAATGATTAAAATGATCTATATATCCTAACTTAAATTTAAATTTTGTAATGTCAAATTTACCCATATGAATAGTACCCATGAATACTGCTCATGTATAGTACTTGTGAATAATATTCATGAAATAAATAAAAAATTTGTAAAAACCCTAGAATTCCTAGAAACTAAAGAACCCTAGAATTAAACCTTAAAACTAAAATCAAATATACATCCTTTAAAATTTAATAAAAATTAAAAATAAGTATAATTTTTCCCTCGATCATTATCCTCTTGTTGGAGAAAACTCATCCTCGAGTTTTCAAGTGTGCTAAGATGAACTCAGCATAAAAAATACCTTCTTCAACCTTCTTTTTCGTTGTTGGCTCAAATACTATTCGTGGTAAAGATAGTTCTTCAAGAAACGGATCATGATATGTATATTAAGGAATCAGGGCCACAATGTGCAGATTCTAAATCGACCATGCTTCCACTGCACAACTCTGATTCCAATACCCTGAATTTCTTGAATGCATTACCTCATCGATATTAATGAGATCTTCAAAGGCCATGATTTTGTTCAATCCTCCCGTTGCCTTCTCTCCATATTCTTCACTCATCCAAAATCTCATGATCATCATCTAGATCCTTATCATAGATCGGATCTCCTAAGAAATCTTATTGTTCATCTGAGTATATCGAAGATCGGTGGTGAATCCCAATATACAATTTACTGACTTTCCATGCAATCTATGTCAAAATAAAAAATCTCATCCTCCAAATTGAAAACCCTAGAGTAATGTTCCCCACATCTAGGTCTTCTATCACTATCCTCATCACTCGACTTTACACGCAAAGCGCAAAAGTGAAAATGCGTGTACTCTAGATCCTCTTGGGCTAAAGATCACCGTCTTGCCCATTATTGAGGCTCGCGAATTGTTGTGCCAGCTGTTGTAGTTGCCTTTCAAGTTCCTCAATTCTATCATTTATGGGATCACATATTGGATTTATGAAAATCCCCCTTCTACGGCCCCTTCTCGTTGTCAAAGGTTCGTTAAAATCACAAACCCTAGGCAATTAATCAACATAAACGGCTGAAATCAGCAAGATCTAATTTGTTTTGGCAAAATTTTTGTCAAAATCAGCAAACCCTAGACCCCACCTGTAACTTCCCCTCTTTGTTCTTGATCTAGGGCACAAAAAATATTCGTTACAATGATGTCCGTACACTGCTACAGTAGATTCCGTACACTGCTACACTAATTTTGTGCACTGCTACAGTATATTTTGTGTGGATCGCGGGCTCTAATACCACTGATGCATGGAAAATTGAGGGAACAATAAAATTAGCAAGAAACAAGCCAAACACAAGCACAAGTCAAAGAAATCTAGTCTTCTCCATACCCCAAGCTAGGGTTCCAAAAGCTTAAGCTTTTCTCTTTTCAATTTCTAAAAATCATGTGTAATTGACTATCGCAAAGCCCCACACACCTATATACTATAATTCAATGTTCAAAGACATTACATGTCCATACAATGATTAAAATGACCTATATATTTTAATTCAAACTTAAATTTCGTAATGATAAATTTACCCTTGTGAATAGTACCCATAAATAGTACTCATAAATAGTATTTGTGAATAATACTCATGAAATAAATAAAATAACTATAAAAACCCTAGAATTCTTAGAAACTAAAAAACCCTAGAATTAACTAAAACTAAAATCGAAATATACATCTTTTAAAATTGAATAAAAATAAAAAATAACTATAATTTTTTCCTCCATCACATTACATGCAGGATTCAACTATTCTTACTGAATTCTATTTGAGGTTTCTTGGGTCATGGACGAAATTTTGAAGGGTCTTATGGATCACTGGCCCTCTCTTTGGTTGAACAAAAAAGGCCATGTACTATTGAAGTTTTTATTATGTGTGGCTTGGTTATTTTTTGATGTATTTGGAATGAAAGAACCAACATGATCTTCAAGGATGCTTTGTGAATGTAACTTAATTTATTATGTTTTGGTTTCTTAGATGGACTGCGTGAGATTTAAGTAACACATTTGCGCTAATCCTGTGGGCCCTTAGCCTTAAAAAGTTCTTCACTTTCAAGGCAGGGTACCTGGTTTGTTAATGTAAGCTGATTTATTTTGTCTCATAACTTAGGCTCAGACCTGGGGTCTTTATGGATTGAGGTAATTAATGTTCCTTAATCCTTAGTGTCAATGATAACAAGAAGAAACTCCATCCTTCCAGTACGGGGAATTCTAACAGTCACAAGCTTGGTGGGGGTCTCAATACCTTGTTGAACCTATTGGCATTTGTCACTTAACTGAGGTGGAAGAACTGGTTTGCACCTTTTTGGGTTTCTTCCTCTTTGTTCTTGAGCCCCTAGATTGTGTAGATCCTCTTAGGTAGGGTGTTCATATCCTATACACTGAGCAATATTCTGTGTTAGAGTAGTTCTCAAACTTCGTTACTTATTGCATCCAAGGATTATTCTTTAGTTTCTGGCTTGACCAGTTTTGGCCTGTTCAACGTGACACCATATTTAATTCTTTTTTGCTTCTTAACTTTATTGAGGGTGAGGAAAACGGCAAATTTATTTCTGGCCATATGCTTGTACGTATTTCGTTAATCCCTCTCCCCACCTTGCATTTAGTGTCATTATTCCTTTGTGTTTGGTGACTGACTCATTCATTGTTTTCGTTAGGCTGCCAGATACAACGATATTGATGATATAATAAACTTGGCATCGGAGGGTGTCTCTCTGGATTTGAAGGATTCACAAGGCCGCACAGGTTATGTCTCATCTGGATTAAAATATATTTGAAATACCGGACAGTGGGTAGAAACCTTTTTGTACAGACTATGGCAAGTGTGTGAAAGTTAGTCTTTAGCAGTAATATTATTCCACTGATGACAGTGATTCTTATCCATTTGATCTTCACATTTGATGGTTTGGATGATAATGGAATAAATTGTTCTATTGCTTCCTTGATATAAAACATTTATGGGTGCCCCTGTAAAACTCTTGAAATATTGGGTATGGTATGTTAAAAGTTATTGAACTCAATCATTGTACTGAAGAGGCTCAAGATGAGCACCTCCTTTCTACAGATGAGGTGCTCCCTAGAGTTTGAACCAAAAAAATGTGTGCGCGTGTGTGTCGGGTGGGTTTGTGCTATGTGGTGTTTTTTTTGGGGTTGGAGACAGGGGGGGGGGAGGAGAAAAGTGGGGGAGTGTGTTGGGGTTTGGGATGGAGGGAGGGAGGGAGGGAGAGACTAAGGGAGGGGGAGAGGGAGGGAGATCGTAGATTTTTTATTTAAGAGATCATAGGTTTTGATACCTATACACTCATAGATGTAGTTTGTTGTGTAAGAGATCATACGTGAACTTTTGTTTTTTATATATAAAAGATAAAGGTAAAAGCCCAAGGCAGAAAATCTGGAAGGAGTTCTAGAAAACTGCATTTTTTTGCAGAAATAGCATGTCTTTTCTAGCCTTGGATCCATTGATCCACCTTTCTCCCTTGGAATGAGGAGCAATTTTCAAAATCCAAGGTGAAGAAACCTGTGTAGAGCCTGAGATTTTTTCTATGCATGGAAACCCCAGATTTTTTTTTGAGGAAAGGTTAACTTGTATTAACATTGTAAGAGATTACAAAATTAGAGTTCCGAAGTCACCCACAGCTGGGGCCTCGGTAAAAAATCGTATGACCAAATTTGTACAGTGGCTTATAACAATGCCCAGTTGCTTGGTTTTTACAGTGTAGTTAAAAAAACAGGAAAGAGGGCATATAGAGTCACCCTTGTACAAAGATATTCCAAAAGCTTTCAAAACACTCCTGTGCTAAAATTAGACTGCTGTGCAAAAACTCAGACTGAGATGTGGAGGTTGTATGCCCCTAGTCTTGCATCAAAAAAGGTGGACCCGGGTTGCACTTCTAGCTCCCTCTTTCGCTAGCCGATCTGCAGTGTCGTTGGATGTCCACCAAATATGCATCCAGGAGACGTCCATAGCCCTGCCAATGTGATGTATCTCATCAAATATAGGAATAAGGTGCCACGGTGGAGGGCTAGAATTACTAGCCCAGGAGAAGACATTCTTAGAGTCCCCTTCCACAATGAGGTGTGGGCCCCACACAAGATTATAGTTTTTCAAAGCATGCAAAAGGGCCAAACTTTTGGCATGGGTGGAGTCCTTAAGACCTATGTACTCTGAAAGAGCAAGGAGGACGGTGCCTTTGTGGTCTCTATAAACTCCTCGAACCCCTGCTGCGGGTTGCCTAAGAAGCACCCATCAAAATTAGCTTGATCATTCCTTGAGGGGGGGGCCTGCCAGTTATTAGGTCTAGTAATAGATTGAGGTCGAAGATGAAGGAGGTTGACCCAATGGGGGAAGAAGAAACTCCCTGGTATGCCTTTAAAAGTCTTTTGGTTTGAAGCCTGAAATGTGACCAAAGAAACTGCTCTGTGAAATATAGCAGAAGGTTAGAGTTTGCATCCACGAAAGTTTCTAGAGTTTCTTTCGAGCCAAATGGACCAGATAAGGAAACCCCGGATTTTGAATGTAGGAAACTCAAGTACTCTGGATTCTATAAAGCACATTCTAGAGGAAAAGGTTATTTTATTACTCTAGTTCCCAGCTTAAATATTAGAAATTGTGGATAACTGTAGAGTTGCGCATTGGATTTTGAAGCAAATGACTGGAAAATATAGAAGAGATATAGGATGTTACTGGCCTCATATGAACAGAGTAATACTTAAAGTTTGCAAAATAACTGAACCAGCACTCAAATGACAGATTTTCCAGCTTTCCAAAGCAATTTCTTTGCACCACTAGATTTGCTCTCTAAAGATTTTTCCTATACTATACCTGTAAAAACTGTACTAGCTCAGCTTTACTATTTTTAGGCAATGATTGAAACTGCTGCAATCACTGTTGTCCTGACTGATGTTATATTCTAATTACTCACTATCTATTTACTTCATGGCACCATTGAAGCATGTTTTCCACACCAAATATGATCATTCAAATTGCTTCAACGAACTAATAAATAAATATTTCAATTGGGATTTTAATTAAAAAATGTAAAACACCCATAAATGATCACTAATTTAACACTCCATCAATGCTATTTTTATTAATTTCAAAGTCGCCATGGTCAGATGTGTAACAATATGTTGGAGGGAAAATTTCCAAATTTGTCCCTACACAAAGGTTAAATACTGCACAAACTAATAACTAGTTTTTTAAACGTGCCATGTATTTTTTTTTTTTTTCTTTTTTTTTGTTTTTGTGGGGTGGGGGGTGCGCAATATTGTACATTTTACCTCATATATACTCTGTCAGATCTGATTGTGGTCTGTTTGAAATTAGTAAATTGTGTACAGGTGAGATTTAGAATTACCTCTTTTTTACGAGTTTTTTGATAGCAGTCCTTTTCAATATACATATTTGGACTCAGTTGACGAGAGCTTATTCTTGTTTACTTTTCAGCACTTCACATGGCTGCTGCTAACGGTCATCTAGAGGTTGTGGATTATCTCATCAGAAATGGAGCGGTAATGAGGCTGTCTTCATTACACACTGAACTTCTATTCTTTGTGCTGTAGCATGGTGCCTTGAAATCTACCATCTAATATTAGATAGTTTCCCTAGAGACAAGGGTACTTTTGGTACTTTGGTTCAGTGTCTTATGATTAGTCATGTCACTTTCACTATTACATATGTCATGAAAGTTTACTCCCTTGGATTAATGGAGAATTTTATTGAATTCATTCATTTCTTCTAAGTGTTGAAGTTTCAAAAAGAACCAAGAATTTGGATTTCCTGTTTGACTGATTTGTTGTGCAATCAGGGTTATAAGTTTTCAGTGAATACAATTGTTTCTATTTTGTAAATGTACATCATCGGTTGATTCATGATGGTATTCTGTTTGAAAATGTTGACTCAAAATGTTTGCAGATCAGCTGAGGCATTCTTGTGTTTCTCTATATTTTGTTATTTTGAATTCCTTTATGCATTCTGCGTTCATTCTGTGCCCTCTTTCCTGAGGGCAATTGTTTCATATGGTATTGTATTGTGCTACTATTTTTTTGGTTATGTATTATATTGTAGTTGAAGAATTTCTCATTCATCACCATGGTTCTGCACCCTTCTCATGTACATTTCAATTTATTTTGCTATATGAAACGTACTTGAGAGGAGCACGGAACCATGCTGATGAATGATAGCTTCTTCAACCCTGTGATGCCCTTCAAATTCGTCTTTCTACTTCTTCACGTGTGCAATGATTTCAAGTGCTAACATGGGTTAGGAACCGCCTGAAACCAATTTGCCAGGGCTTGTGATTCGGCAAAGATGAAATTTCAGTAGGTGTCTTTATTTTGGTTCCTTTTTACCCTTTGTTTCGTCCGAGATATTAAAGGCTGCTTCCTCAATAGATAAAGAGATTTTTGAAAGTTCGTGTTTTTTCATTGGGTTTCAGCAAGATCTTAGTGTCTGTCATTATCCATTATTGGACTTTTCTCCATTTGACATATTTGTAATTTAGGTGGTTATTTCTTGGAGAAATTATACCTTCTTTATTCATGTAATGTTCAGTGAGCTTTGGTAGCTGCATTGGAGAGAGTCAACAAATCTTGTTGCCTCCAAATGCTAGCTGTTATTGGAAGATTTTATCCATTGTTTTTATTACATGTTTGCTGCTGATATTCTTGGAGTCAAAATACTTTTTTCCTTTTCCTGCAGGATCCCAACGCTTCAAACATGGAGAATAATACCCCCCTTCATTATGCTTGTCTCAATGGGCACACCCAAGTGGTTACGAAATTGACATTGGCTGGAGCTAATGTCGCTGCCTTGAATAGGTATATTATCCTGGATTTGTAATTTTTTATAACATTCTCTCATTTACCCGACCCAAAATAGTATGTAAAAAGCTATGATGATGATGATGATTCTCCATAAGTTGTCACTGCTTATTTGTCTTTTTCTCCTTTAAGCTAACCTTAGGACGATTGAAATATTTGTCTTGTTGATCAGTCACGAGAAATCTCCAGTTGATGAGGCGTTGAGCAGGGGGAAGATGGAGGTGGTTGCTGCAATCGATGCCGTATCTATGCAAATGGAACTTGACAGCGCTAAAATATCATAACTTGTTCTTAACGAGCTGCTAAGTCCTCAAAATTTTATCTTCTTGTAATAATCTATCTAATATAATTAAATTTTCTGGAAAATCGTCAACTCAATGTTGTTAGTGTGCACTTTCTTTGAATTTTCCACAGATCTTAAGTGGTTATCTTTTCCAGTGGAACCTTAAGGTTCTCCAATGTTCTTTTAACTTTCTTGTGATTTTCCTGGTTATTTGATGCTTGCTATATAGTGTTGGGAAGGCCTCTTCTTAGCTGCCTCCGTTAGGTCTTGGACTTTTGCTTTCTGACATTACAAAAAGTTGTCAACGGTTTTGCTGAGGCAACAGAAAGCAAGTGGAACCCAAGATAAGCAGCAACTAATAGGCTCTTACAGGAAATTTAAAGCAATTAGTCTTTTGTCAGAGAAAAATTAGATTTTGGGGTTATTTGGATCTTTAGTTTTTTTTAATCGTATTCGTGTCTTGAATAGATTATTTTGAGGAAAAAGTTTATATAAGGTCTCAACCTTATATTGTACGGGTAAGGTGTACTTAAAGAACCGCTAGTGAAGGTTGTTCCTATGCTGGAAAATCTCCCAATCGATCATCTCGACTTCGAGATTAGTTGACATGTAAAAAAAAGGGGATTCTAGGCCTAAAAATTGTTAATCTTCTAACATCTTATTTGGACCGTCCATTTTTAAGATTTTCAAGTGTTTATAAGTCAGCTTGTCACCATTTTTAGAATTTTAAATTTCATAATTAAAGGCAATAATAAATTTTCATATCATTGCAAAGCAAATTGCGTTTTCGACATAGTTTTGAGGTGCACCTTAAGTCAATAGTATCAGGTTGACACCTTATGCAAACCTTACTCTTATTTTGAAGCTAAAGGTTGAATGGATGAAGGGCTAGGATTTAATGTGATTTGGGTTTCTTTGGAGCAAATTAGGATTTAGGGTTTCTTCTGTAAGTATGTAATTAGACAATAAAAATAATAGAGCGGAGAATAAGAGTTTTTTTGGGTTTTGTGAAAATATTTTTAGGCATGGACTCTTTTGCAGATCTTGAGAGGTATAATTTTACATTCTTTATTGTTCGGTATTTTTTTTTTTTTAGTTTTGTGGTTTATTTATTTATTTTTTTGCTCTTTTTATCAATTGGTACCAAAGCTTTAGAGGATCAATCAAAATGCCACCAAAACCTATTATTTTAATTGAGAAAATATTTCCACAAATAATGGACCCGTGAATCAACAAATTAAAGAGCATAAATCAAGTGATGGAAGAAATTTAAAGTTAGATTTGCGGAATTTGAGGATAGGGTCAAATTCATGGAGAGATCAGTTAAATAAATGTGGCTGCAACAATTAGATAATACCCATCACTGAAAAGAAGGTACTTTCACTCTCATAGATCTGGTGCCAAATCTTTTTCCAAAGGATGAATTGATATTCATCACATGCTCTAGGTGTTGAGCCTATACGTAATGAACAAATTTTGAAGCAAGAATCACAACTCGAGGAAGGTCCACATGATATCAGTGTCAAGCTCGACCTTCCCAAGTTTGATGAGGAACTCGAAGGAGAAACTAAAATTAAGATTATACTTTATATTGCAAAGTTCCATTATAAGTTGCAATTCAAGTGTTTGATTAATTGATTTATTGAATAAGATAAAGTACCCATGCCAATTATGGGACTTTATGACCAATTATTCAAGTAGCTTGGGACTTTATAACCAACTATTCAAGTAGCTTTTAAAGGATGTGATGTGCAAATACATTCAAAGTCGAGCTTCTCCCAATCAAGTGAGAATGATGCCCTCAGTTTATTTATTTATTATTATCATTATTATCATTACTATTATTATTACTATTATTATTTTTATTTTTATTATTTTCAAGTGATGGAAATTAGGTATTGGGCTTATTTGGATTTTTAGTCTTTTTTTGGGGTATTTGTATATTTTTTTGTTGTAGAGAATAGAGAGGTATAATTTGAATATAAATGTCAAATAGATGAAGGGCTAGGATTTATTATGATTTGGGAGTAAAGTTAGAATTTAGGGTTTTTCTATAAATATGTAATTAGCCAAAAAAATATTAGAGAAAAGAGAAGAATAATTTATTTTGGGTACTGTGAAAAAATCTTTTAGGGGACCTCTTTGCATACCACGAGATATGTATATTGTCTTATCCTTTATTTCCATCTTTATTTTTTTATTTAATTATTTTTCCCTCCCCTTCTCCCGCATTAGAATGTCATGAGATTGGAAATCGCAAAAAGCCTAAAGTTTTTCAAAAGAGAAGAAAGTCGTGAACGCTCTTTTGCAAACCTTCTCTTTTACCCTCTTTATATCAAAGAGAAGACTAATGTTTAGATTCCTAACATGCATTTTAAAAATTACCCTTGTATCTTTATATCAAAGAGAAGCCTAATGTTTAGATTCCTAACATGCATTTGAAAAATTACCCTCGTAGAAAAATTGGCTTACGTTCATTACCTTCATAATCATTGAAAGCAAATATTATCTAATAATCATTTGTTTACAATAGTATATAGGAGAATATTGTTCTTGAGTAAACAAGCATACAATCAGTACTACAGGATTCTTCCCATAGGAATAAGTGTGTAATGAGCACGCATTTAAACATCTTAACTTGGCCATGAGGACCAATGCCATAGTGTGTCTAGAGAGGTTTTCTACCACTTTTTATTATAACATTTTTAACCACCACTTATTATGAGGTTTTTGGTCAAGCCCTCACATTTTTTGTGACAAAATACTGACTTTGTTGCTCATGACTTCTCTAACATTTTTAAATCTCATTAAATGATATGCTTGAAGAATAGTTCTATACCTAGACCTTTTGAGGTTCGCAATAGCTCAATCATTTCGCTCATGACAAATATCCATAATTTATGTAATGAGGATCTTCATGCCAACACTGATTTTGTCACTCATGACTTGTCAAATATTTTTTAGTCTTATTCAATAATATTCTTGAAAAATAGCTCCACACTAAAAACCTTTGTCAGGAGTTCGCAATCAGATTAGATGATAGAATAACTTAGTCACCTTGTTCTTCTCAATTATGTCTTAGATATGGTGGTTTTGCACTTTAATGTTGTTAGCCTTGGAATTATTTACCCCACTTTCTAGTAATCTAAATTTAGCTTGATTATCATAAAGCATTTAAAACTGGCATGTTGATTATATGTAGCTTCAAGTCATCCATGAATTGTTTTATCTAGTGACAGTAGTACGTCTAATGCTGCAAGCAATGTACATCAATTTTTATATAAAATGAACATTGCTCTTTACAAACTCAAAAAATAACAAGGTATCAATGTATTTAACTCCCTTTTTTCAAGTAGAGTATTTGCTACTATTTTTTTTTTTAAAACTAACTGACCTTAATTTTTTTTAAAATGCTCATTTACAAATAATAACCTTCTTAGGATCGGACAAATCACATAGATGTCAAACTCGATTCCTCTCTATTGAATCAATCACTTCTCTAATGACATTGAGTTAGTATTGAGATTCTTGTGGTCAACACCATTGAAATAAGGATAATTCACCTCATCAAGGTCAATATTATTATTTATTTTTTCATTTACATAGATATAAATTTCATCAAGATATGATGGGGAGCTTTAGACCACTTTTGATCACTTAGCATAAGGTATATTATCACTTTAAAACTGTAATCCTAGCCATGGTCATTATTATCTACAGTTGTTGATGGGTCTGATCATCTATGGTCTTAAGTGGATTATTATCAACATCTATAGGTGGTTTTTTTTTTACACTAAGTTCATTTAAAAACTCATTATCATTACTTTCAATGAGACCCTTATCCTAATTTTTCAAATTTTTGGGGTATCTTATGAATAGACACAGTAGAATTTTAAGTTCCAATTAAGTTCGTTGTTGATATGGGATAAGAACATGAGCTATTGACCTCACCTTTTTAAGTTGCTCAAATTAGGCTTCTACTAATCTATACTTCATAAAGAGTAAAATCTATGGCTTTGTTGGAACCCTACCAAAGAGATTCACAACTATGTTCAATGCTTTGATAGAGCATCATGGGCTATCATAAACGTAATCATCTTTAAGAGGATTCTTTTATTCCTTTTCAATACACAATTTTGTTATGGTGTTTGGCCGAATAAACATTTTCCAACCCTATTTCCATACAATAATTATAAATGTCTTCTATGGTAAACTCACCTTTGCTTATTAACTAAAAGCAATTTGATATTCTTATCCAGTAGAAAATCTACTTCTTCTTCTTCTTCTTTTAATAGCTTAAATGTTTCTAAAGCTTCTAAATTATAATGAATTAGGCAAACATCTGCAGACCTAGAGAAGTCGTCAATGAATGTAATAACATATGACATACCTTTATGAGTTTTAATAATGGGAGGTCGATAAACATCCAAGTCTTGTCAAATGATTTCCTAGCCATATTTCATGACAAATAGTGCTGATGAGTTTGGAATTCAATGTTATTAAGGTTGACACATTTTTTGTTAGTCTATTTATTTTTATCTTTGCCACATATATATACATTGATAATCATTACACAATCGGAATAATTAGTAAAAGAGGCAATCTTATTAACGTTGTTATCATTTTCATCAAGACAGATCCATTTGTGTGGATCAACTAAATAACCTCAATATAAATTCGAAATTTTTAAGGATCAGAAGTGAACCTCAAGCCCTTTTAAATAAGTATCAGCAATAGGTACAATATCAAACCTCATATTAGGTATAAATATTATATTTGTTAATGTTGGATAAGAAAGAATAAGAAGGAAAACTTTTCCACATATTTTAGTCGTTGGACTGTATATAGTGGAGATCAAGGTTTGTCCAAAATGATAAAAAACTAGTTTCTTGGTGCCTCTCACAGCCATGAAATCCTATCTTATAGAGAGAGAGGGAGGTTGATTCTAATGTTCAACTTGCCTTCCTGAAGTCTTTGAGAAGTGATCCGTAAAATCTGGGAGCACGGAATGTGCATAATTGACTGTTGTAAACAAAAGACTTTCTTTCTCTTTTTTAAAAAAAACTCTTCTAATGGTAAATAATAATAAATAAATATAAATTTTTTTGAAAAAATATTAATCAAGATAAAACATAAAATATAAGGCATGTGTGAAGCCCCATTCGACCTTTATGTGTATATCTTTGT